GGGAAATAGAAGTAGGCAAAATCCTTCTGCTGTGTGATGCTCCTAACCCCTGCTGCCGGTCGTTTCCAGTAGGGGTTGAATTTGCACTCTTTGAATGCCATGGCTCCGATGGTTTGTTCCTTGATTTCTTGCTTGAATTCCTTCAAGTCTGCTCTTGTGATGCCATCATCAACTTCGTCAAAGTAGTTGCGACCAAAGTCTTCTAAGATTTTTTGCAAATCTTCTGTTCGCTTGTCAACCATGCTGCCGACGACAACCTGTGTGACCTCAACCTGTGGCTCAACCTGTGGGACCTTGTTCTTGCTCTTCTTGCTCTTGGTTTTGGTTGTCTCCTTTCCACTATCCTTTGCTACCTTGACCTTGTCCGTTTTCTTCACCTCCTTCGAACGCTTGTTGGTGCGGGGCTTCTTGCCATTTTCAGCCTTAGCGGTTTTTGCACTGGCCCCTGTTGGTTCTGTTTGTTTTCCCCTCACTCTCCTCTTCACCTCTGGAACCTTCTCCTCATGCAAGGAGTAGAGGCTTGCCCTTCCATCCTCCCATGCAGCCTTGTCCCACACCTGGGAGTTGTCCCAGCCAGCCCACCCATAGTGAGGTCCCTCACCCCATTCCTCTTCCCAATGTTCATGCCATTCGGCATCAACTCCATCCCAATGGTCCCAAGTCTCATCCTTTGCCCCGCTAGGTGTCACTGGAATTGTCTTCGCTTTCTTGTTGCTTTTGCTCTTTGCTGTTGTCTCGGGGGCTGATTTCTTGCGACTGTTCTGCCTGGGTTCTTTGGGCTTTCGTTCTGTGGCTGCTTTGCTAGTGTTGTCATCATCATCTTTTTTTCGTGTGTCACCTTTGCCCTTTCCCCGGCCCCTACCCCGCCCTTTGCCTTTCCCCCGACCTCTGCCTTTTGAACTCTCGGCCGAAAGTTGCTCCTCACGGCTGACTGGCACCCGGTTCTCGTTCTCCTGGCAAGGCCATGAGATGATGATAAATGATGTCATGTTGTAAGCTTGATGTCTTGTGGAGGTTTTTTTTTGGTTTGTTTTGATATGCTATGACGACTGGATCAGCCATGATCAACCCTGAAACAAGACCAGCTAAACCTATGAACAGGAATGTAGATATCCATATACTTGCACATATATTTTCCCACAAATAAAGCGAACCCCAAATCATTAACAACATCTTGAATCCCATGTATGGGCTCCTCATCAGTCTCGGTGAAATGTTCTTTCTCTTCATCATTAGGCGCAACTGGTGTAGTCTTGTCACCATTGCCGGCATTGGATTTTTCGGGTAACATTGACACATCATTTGACTGTGGGGGTGGCTCATCAGAACCCTTTGATCGTTTCTGGTAAGCTTCGCGCTTCTTCTCTGCAGGACAGGGTGGAGAAGCCTCTGGTGCTGGAGGCTCCACCGGTGGGGATGTGCAGGTGATGTCCACCGGCTGGGTCTCGATGTTGTCTGGGCCACGAGGACAAGCAACATCACCTGACATGGCAGGTACGTGTGCAGAAGAAACCATTATATAGGTTTGGACAACGTGTCTTCTACTAAACTCATCTTAGATACCCGTTTAAATTGCACAGGATATATAAAGTTGCGTCCTTCCTAATTCTGAAATGTTGATGCTGCATTTTTTGTTTTCTCAAACAATACTGATCAGATGGGATGGTGCCTTTCGAGGTTACAGGAGGGCTCGAGTTGGTAGTCTCCTCTGCTTTCTTCTTCTTCAGCCTAGGTCCATCATGGTCTCTATTCAGAGAATATCAGCAGGGAAAAGACATACCTTCAGATATCCCTGGTACAGCTCTGAAAACTAAAGGCCAAATGCCAAACAAATCACATCTTGTTGAACTAATGAGAATCAGGCATTCGTGGATTTGTGAAAATGTATTGCTTGACCTATATGTGTTGAATGTTATGTATAGATATATATAAACAGTAAAGACTGTAAAGATGAGAGGCTCTTCCAGCTTCTGTCTCACCTTTTCCCGTCGTGCTTCCAATTCAGCTTTGGACCCTTGGATGAAGCAGCATGGCACTGCAAATGACACAAGTTTCCAGAAGATAAGCAGCCCACCATCCAAAACAACCGGTTTGACAACAAGGGGCTCCATACCAATCAACTCCTTTTATATTATTTCTGACAAAGTACCCGTAGGTGGTGGCATTGCAGGGGTCGTCGAAGAACTGGAAGGAGCACCCAAAGTGCTATTTGTAGGTGGTGGGTTTGATGTCTCCTGCTTACATTCACCTGTTTCAGAACCGCTTGCCTTTGGGGTTGGCTCATTCGATGGGCTTTGTTCTTGTTCAACCCCAGGCCCACTCTCACCATTCTCCTCCTCCAAGCACTCCTCTCTGTGGTCCAAGCCGGAACCGCTAGGTCCATCATCATACTCGTCCTCTTCCTGCTCAGCTTCAAGGGCAGCAAGACGGGTCGCCTGGCAAGGAAGGGTGATGTTGTGTCAAGGTCCATGGGACGAATGGGGGCCTAGCATATACTATACAGGTCAAGACTGGAGTGTCAAGGTTTGGTCGCATGTCCATTCAATAAAGTAATGCTCGTGCAGATAACTTAACATATGCAAAAAGAGAAGACTTGAAAGGACGACATTCAAAGATTCGGCGATGTCTCTTTAAACCATAAATTGAAATCATACCATAAACCCTGACCCAAAGAAGCAAACATAGAACCAGTTTCCTGCTCATATTCTATGTAAAAGATGTATACTCTTCTTTTAAGGCACGGTTCATTCAAGGCACGGTTCCTGAGTGTTGTTTGCACCTTGAACCATCAAAACAAAAGACCCTGTGAACATGAATCATTCCATGTCCCCGGGGGAATAAGCTGGAAACAATCGTTGATTGGCCTCCTTAGCCTGGCGTTTCGCTTCCAGCTTGGCATTGACATTGTTGACTGTCTCCTGCATGCGTAGCAGGCCGGGCAACCCAAAAAATGACGGCCTATGATCAACCAAGAATTTTGATGCCGCCAATTTCTTTCAGGCATTAAAGGGCATGGCCACCGAAAGTCAACAAACTTGCTTAACTATAAGGCCAGTGATATGTTTATACAGTTATCTTAATAGCAAACACCTTTTGGAAGATTCCATATAGTACAGTAAAACGGCTATATTCAAATCTTGTTGATAACAGGATTCTCGATGAAGAAATGATTTATACGATATATAAAACATATATCTGCTGAGACATCCGTGGAACACAATCCTCCAAGGTCGGCTCAAGTAGAAGACACAGCTGCTGGAAATCTTCCACCTCGGATGGACCCATTTATCCCTACCAGGACAGGACAGGACATAGGGGGTTGCTAAATCCATGTTGCAAGTTTCAACGGTGAAATCCCGTTTTGAATACCCGATCGAATTAGGGAGGAGACGTCGCACCCGGCTTCTTGTAAGATAATTCCAGGGGACTTCCAAAAACCCTATAAAAAGAATTGTTTTTTGGGAATTTTGGCCCTTACAAAAAGCATAGGTTTTTAGCACCCACATTCGACTTCAAACACCTATACCATTTTATAAGGCGACGACTTTCTTCATGATATGAAAGCTGCATCCTACTCGATGACCTTTTTATATTTTTTTAATAAGAAGTTGTGATTTTAAATAGCGTTTTCGGGCATCATTTTGTAAGGAAACAACTTCTGGTTCCCTGATTCTGGTTTTCCCGGACTCGTTGATTTTCAAGCAGCCCTTTTGTAAGGATTCCATTTTATGCCACCTTTTATGTTGTTTTATATTTTTGTATGTTTGTTTCTTTGGCCTCATTGCCTCCCAGAACTCCTCTCATGATGTCTCGCGTTTGTGTTATCACATGAGTTAAAAAAAAATTGAACACGAAAAACATGTACAAAATGAAAACATAAGATAGCCGTGAACGTCGTCACACTTACAACTTGCAAAAGATCCTTGGCCATCCTTGGCCAACACAACACCAAGAAGAAAGTTGGTGCCTCCGCCAAATCCAAATTTAATTCAAAATTGCTGCCATGGCTGCCCTAAAACTTGAACTGTGCCATACTTTGTATCAATGCCTAAAAAGCATATATTCTTACAAAAAGGATCTTCTACTCTTGACGACATCTCCTTACAAAATGTCATTGCACACCCTGCTGAATTCTTTTTTGTTTTCTGATGTTCAATAACAACATCTTGAGCTTACAAAAAGCATCAATTACTTTACTTCGAGTGATCCCCACCATGACATTTATACGTTTTGTTACTGACAAATCTTCTGGCATTCTATCTGGCATATCTTCTGGCATTCTATCTGGCATATCTTCGGGCATTCTACCTGGCATATCTTCTGGCATTCTATCGGACATGCTATCTAGCGTTCTATCTGGCATATCTTCTGGCATTTATGAAGCCAAAACACGCTTTAACAATTCATGCCATATGTCGCGCGTGATCATCTCGCACACAACACCCAAAACGTGACTTCACATGGATGAAACTCGCTGTCGTCAACCATGCCCCGCTCAGGGGAGCCAGTTGAGGTTCACCTCCACCTCAAGGCACCAGGCACCACCACGCCGGGGGGTTAACCACAACCACCCCCAAGGAGACACCTTAGCTGAGGTTCACCTCCACCTCAAGGCACCAGGCACCACCACGCCGGGGGGTTAACCACGACCACCCCCAAGGAGACCTGAGTTGAGGCTCACCTCTTCAAGGAGGTTGACTGAGCCAGGTTGAGGTCCAGCGGTGCTCACTGAGCTCGGAAGGTCCCAGGTTGAGGTCCAGCGGTGCGCACTGAGCTGGGAGGGTCCCAGGTTGAGGTCCAGCGGTGCGCACTGAGCTGGGAAGGTCCCAGGTTGAGGTCCAGCGGTGCGCACTGAGCTCGGAAGGCCCCAGGTTGAGGTCCAGCGGTGCGCACTGAGCTGGGAACGTCCGAGGTTGAGGTCCAGCGGTGCGCACTGAGCTGGGAAGGTCCCAGGTTGAGGTCCAGCGGTGCACACTGAGCTGGGAAGTTGGCAAAGAGCTTGGCGACGAGTTGGCAAGGCGGAAGTGGAGGTGGAAGTTGATGCAGACATGGTCGAGGAGAAACTGGAGGAGAAACTGGAGGAGGAGGAGGAGGACGAGGACGAGGAGGAGGAGGAGGAGGACAGCTAGCCGAGGAGGAGAACAACTCTGATAAAATCTAACAACCCTCACCTGGCAGGTGGGGAAAAAGACAAACTCGATGGTCTTATAAAATGACTTGGCACCTCAAAACTCTTACAAAATGAACACTTGAAAATCTACAACTTTGCCTTTTGGGTGCCCTGTTACAAAATGCCCTGGTTAGGGGGATCATTGTAACTACAAAATGCCTATATATAAACCATTTATAGTGGGGCCGACCCCTTCCATTCTGTAAGGGAAATTCGAACGGGGATCGTTTTGACATGAAACATTATGTGCGTGCAAAGTGTGGTCTTTTCAAAACAAGACACCTGGGACACTTCGCTTCTTCGCACTTTCATTTTCACAAATCCAGCCATGAAGCGCACCCTCCAAGCGACTGCCATCAAACCTTCATAGTCTTCTGGTTTTGGTGGCCTTTTGTTGAGGGTCAAAGCGGATTCCACAGCTGCATGAAGATCGTGGATGCTGGGAAGAACCCTCTTTTCAGAAACAGCCATCCTAGTGAGTAATGGGACAAGCAACATCCTGTTCAGGCAACATCCCTTGATGTCCTCACCCGCAGGGGTGTCAGGATGAAGGAATGACCCACCGTCCCTCCACCTCCCTCGAAGCTCAGGATCTGAATCCCATTCTTGGGCCAAGGATGTCAAATCTAATCGACTCCCAAGGCTCTCCTCTGATGACCCGGGCGCCATGGCGCACAAGAGGCACCACCACAAGTTAGAGATAAAATGCCTGATTAGCCGAAAGCAGCGAGGATCAGCATCATGGTTTCCCAAACCCAGCAGCCACCACTGAATCTTCCCTGAGTTTATCAACTTATGTTTCTTTTCATCCATTCAGTTTTTTGGGGGGCACTTTTCAATCAAGGGTTAAGCCTCTTGCCGCAGGACTTGCTGAGATCCCAGCGGGGCATAGAGGATCATCATGATGCCATGGCTGGAAATAAAAAGGAAATGGAATCAACGATGGGGCGCATGCTGGTGGGATGTCTTGTGGTTCAGGCCCCCTCTATGAAATGTTGGTAGCCATAATTCAGTATCATTCACTTGGTTTTGCCCAAGTGGGCTCAATCCATTCTGATTTTTTCCATTAGATCACGCCTTGTTTTTTGTTCGGCATGTTGATCTAGGGATCAAAGAGCCAATGGCAAGCATCCAGGCTTGCTAAACATGGCCTTAGTGAGCGAGATGGTGGAAACCCGAGGTTTTTACACTATACCCGAGGTTTTCATTAAATTTTTCAGATACCCGAGGTTTGGTCCCAAACCCTAAGAAAAGTTAGGTTCGAGGTTTACTAGGTATATATATATCAATCCACAGCCACTCCTACGAAATCCGAAAGGACAAACACACATCCCATTGAAAGTCATACTTGCCGCTGATCTCTTAATTTTAGCTGCTTAAATCATCCCAAACCGCCGCGATTTGCCATTGAAATTTTCATGAAATCGCCAGAGAATTCCCGTAACACACCCACAAAATCCCTGTAAATCAGGTGCCAAACAACCCCCCTGTCCTGTTTCAAGTGGCCGTGGCAGGGCCCCCTTTCCTCACGTCATGGGGCCGGGTTAGCTCAGGTTTCCTATGCCTGTGGCGGGCTTGCCGGGCCACGTGCCCCCACCCCCAGAGGAAGATTTGTTGGAGGATGAGGCGCCTTTCGGTTGCTGAAGATGTGATTCTTGGGGACTTGGGCAGTTGGGATGTCACACAGGTATCATCCTGTGATGGTGGTGGTGATGATGATGATGATGCTGATGATGCTGATGATGATGCTGATGATGATGATGATGATGATGACAATGACGATGATGACGACGATGCTGATGAGCCCCTACTAGATATTTGAATCGGGTCCAGATTTGTAGACTTGCTGGGTGGTTTGTCGCACTTGTAGCCGGAAAAATTGATCATGGACAGCCTGGGGCTGAACATGGCTGAACATGGCTGAACATGACCCCGTGAATATACGCATTACCCTCTGGTAAACTAACCTATAGCTATTGAACATGGCCATTTATAGTTGATTTACCTATTGAAAATAGTGATTTGCCACAGTCATGTTAGTTTACCGGAGGCTATGCAGGTTTCAGAAATTTGGTTTTGTCAGATCCTTCCATGTTTTTGAACGATTCCAAGTCTTGGCACTGGATTTCTGTCGGAAGCACGGCAGCTGCGCTTGGCAGCTGCTGGGACTCGGTCAGGACATGGATGGGGACTACATGGAAGATGAATCCCCGCAGGCTGGAGTCAATGGGAATTTCAGGATCCTAAAATGGAGGTACTGTACCATATAAGGCCATATTTTGTGGTGATATTCCCTTACATAGGCCTTATATAGGCTTTATATATGGTAGGTACCTCCATTTTAGGATCCTGGAATGGCCATTGATGGAGTGATTGGGGCCAAGATGTGGGTCCCGGTCAAGCAAGCTTTGGGGTGCCTTCTATGACTGAGATTTTGAGTCATGTTCAGCACAGAAAAATGCTGGCTTCCTCATCTTGACACCCAAAAAACTTTTGTTTGGGGATAGCCTATAAAAAATATTAAGAAATAAATATGTGTATATAATTATCTATGATTCTTTATCCCCAGGTATCTTCAATCCCCATGTTTCGAAAGAAACCTGATTTTCATTGGATAAAACATGTGGTTCCCGCCATCCTCCGCCAGGCTCTGTCCCAGCCTTGGATGGAAGGCTTGGGGCAGTCGGTGGGTGGCATGTTGACGGCAGCACCGGGTGGAGGCACAGGAAGCGACAAGGCCGACGAGACGCCGGGGTTGATGGTGGTTTTTCTGGCCCAAGGGGTGGGTTTTTTGGGGCAAACCTTGATGTTTCTAATGGTAATTCTCCAGTATATTGGACAAACCCGCCGGGAAAAAAAAAGGCACCTATAATATAGGGATAGTAAAGGACATTTTTCGTGGATTTGCACCAAGAGTTTGGGGCCGGTTTTTGCACCAGAGTGATTGTAGGCTTTTCATGCTTGCTGATATGCTAAAATCTATCCACTGAAATCCAAAGGGTTGATCCATAAAGAAACACCAAAACATGTCTGACTATTATTGATTATTGGACATTATTGGTTGTTTAGGGATATTTACGGACTCCATGTGAAACCCTGGCTGAAGGAAGATTTTACACCCAGCTACACGTAAATGTTCTTCTTGTTTTTGCAGTGTAAGATTCGCCATGGTTGGCATTCGCATTTTGCAAATTTGCGGACTTTGATAATTCGCCGCGAGGATTTCAGAGGAGTTCAGCAGGGTCATCAATGGGGATCCACCGTACTGGATCAGCTTCCATGGATCCGAAATTGATCATCAGTTGATTCGTAAATCCCAATGCTGAGAGTAAAATCCAACAGTGGCCGGTGAAATTCGCGGTATACCTGTTGGTACCCCAAGATTTCTTGGGAAATTCTGACTTCCAAACGGTGAATTTTTCTCCGAAGCCCTTGGGGTCGGACTCGGTTAAGTTTGCCTAGGACGAGGAGGCGGCAAATGAGGTGGCTCCAGCGGTTCCGCAGTCCAAGCTCATTGACCCTTGGACAACAAACATAGGGATGCTGACAAGTACCCTCTGGTAAACTAAAATAACTATGGAAAATCACCATTTTTAATGGGAAAACTCACTATAAATCACCATTTTCAATAGCTATGTTAAATTACCAGAGGGTAATATCTTGCTCAAATCGGATGAATCGATAGGGCATGATAGGGCCACTTGCTCGCCTTCAGCTTAGCTGGACCTTTTGGATGGCGATGGAGAGAGGGAGAGAGAGAGAGAGAGAGAGAGGGATATATATATATATAACACAAATAGTCAGAAATTACTTTTTGGGGAGTTCTTAGCAACCCCAAAAAAATCCGAGCAGTCTTTCCAGGATGCTATAGATGATATTTACCTCACCTCTCTTTTCCATTTTGGGGTTGCTATATTATACAATAATACTGGTTTTCATCTAGTGTGCATCTAGATTTACCTTTGTTTGTTCTATGTGTTGCTTGAATTGGTCACTTATTGATGTGTTGTTCCTTTCTCGCTTGGTCTGCAGCTCATGGAATGCCATCAAGAACATGAGGATATCTCTGATAAAACCAGAAACAGAACCCGCGTTGAAGCAGAAGAACTTAGGATCTGAATCTACGTGCCAATAGAAACAGAGATTTAACCACTATAACTATAGGATCCATGTATGGTATATATGCAAACATTTGGGGTATATTGATGGTAAATGTTACTATATATAGCATACATGGATCCTATGGGTAATTAATCATCTATGATCGGGGGATGAAAGCAACGAACCTGCGCTGTATGGGTCAACATTTTCCGCAGACCCCGGTTTTTCTCGCACAAGTTGCCCGATGGTGAGCAATATTTAGCAATATCCGATGAGGAAACATTTAGGCATGGGTCAAAACACTGGCCCCATCCTGAAATTGCCTGCATTAAAATTGATGGTTGGTGAGTTGGTGAGCTGTCTTGTCTGCGCACTATATCCAATGATTCTTTAAGACACCGGCACGGCCTGTGTTCCATATCCTAGTGCTTGAACTGGCAGCCCGCACCATACAAAGGTATCGGGGGAAAACATGTTCTACATTGTTCTACTTGAATAGGTCATGTTCCACTTGGTTCAAACCACTTTAAAAGCAAACTTTACCCTCTGGTAAACCAACATAGCTATGGAAAACCACCATCTTTAATGGGTAAATCACCTATTTCTATGGTCCATTTTCCATAGCAAACTGTTAGTTTACCAGAGGGTAAACCAGCTTCAAGCACATTTCAACGGAAAATCATCATCCCATTGTCTCGTTCTGGTCGGGCAGGGGCCTACATATCTGATTCCTGATATCATGATACTTGATGGTTAAACCATTTGTATAGTATTTGTATTTATATATTTGACAATGGCATATTATTATATAATGGTTTATGATGTTAGGTTTCTGATATAATTATAAGGTTCATAATATAGGTCAATATTATCAGGTTAGTATCATTCTTGATCTATAATGGTTTAATAACATATATTTTTTTACTAACCTGAACATATTAAACATTACTAAACCTTATATTCTTGATATTATCAAGTTTCTTATATATCATGGTTTAAATAATTCATTCAAGTTCCACTGACTTCGCTAGGACAGCGAGGAAGACCTCGAGCGTGAGGCGGCTGCCACAGAGCTGGAGAAACTCATGGTGACTGGCCCGGATGGCGTGGCCTTTGCCATGGGATGAAAGTGGGGGTAACTTAAATTCATGGATAGTTAGAACATGGTTATCAATGGGTGTTTATTAGTGAACAATAGTAACAATAGTTACTGTACTTTGCCATAGTTATAAAATTAGTTCTAACATAACATATTCTAACTATCAATTTTGGATGTAAACCTATAACTTATAGGTGAAATTACAACCAACCCAATATTCTCCATTAACCTACTATTGAAGGGGATTGTGATAATTTTATACCAGACATATCCAGACATTTATTGTCAAATTGGGGATGGATTGTTGCATTGGGTCTACCACAGTAACCTATTTTCAGAGAAGCAGTAACTATATTCTTCAACTATGTGTTCAGCGCTAATCGAAAAAGTCTGGAAGGACGTGAAATTCTGAGTTTGAGTACATTTTGGCCCTTTGAAGGTGTGAACAGTTCGGGGAAATGCTTTGCTTGTAGGTGGGGATTGAGTCATGACTGCAGAAGCACCCTATGAATGCTAGCCCGAATCATCATGGTAGGTGTTTTGACCCAGCTTTGGGTAATTCCACGTGCTATTCCGTGGAAAGGCTCTGCCTGGTTAAACCTTCAAGATCTACCCAGCCATTTTGGATCACATTTCCGCTTGGAAACGGGAACTTTGGTGCGTTGGGTGTGTAACGGGGCTTCCTGCAGAGTCGGGGAGTATGTCCAGCGGCTCATGAAACATACCCAGGCCGATGCTGTTTAATTTAGGGAGTGTTGCAGTTTATGGACAATTTGGGTGTCTCCTTGTGATGTGCCACCTTTCACCGGTGTGTGCCTCTCTTGGTTTGCATCATATGGAACGTATAAAGCTGAAAGGGAACATTAATGGTCTGAGCACCAAGTCAATGCACGCATGTGTCTTCAAAATCAAGCTCAGTGTTTACACTACTTTGTTATTTAAGACCTTCATTGTATTTTGTGTTTGTTCCATTGAAAGATCAAACAGGTCCCCAGGTGCAGCAAAACCAGGCCCCCGCCATGCGAACCGATGGTCGGAAAGTCACCGCCCTGGCTTATGAGCTGCATAGGTCGGTTCCGGCTGATCGTTGGTGCGTCACCTATTGGGACCTGCTATTTCTGCGGCAAGAGGTCCAATCTGCCCTTCGCTGCGGCGAGATTCAGCCGGGGCCTGAGGACGATTTGTCGGAGGACTATGGGCCAAGCATCTACACCGTGAATGAGCAGTACATCAAGCCAGTGACACAGGATGCCGGGAAGATGAGTTGGGCTCTGATGCGAAATCCAGATGGTTTGCAGTGCGACTTGTTCATCAGCCATGCTTGGCAGGAAGGTGTCTTTGAATTTCTGGCCAAAGTGAGGCACAGTTGGCCAAGGAGTGTGCAAACTGCTTGGTGCTGCATGCTGGCCAACCCTCAAAACCTGGATATTGCCTCTTTCTTGCAGTCGCCCAAGTCGTCGCCTTTTGCAATTGCGCTGCAGGCTTCCAAAGTTATGTTGGTGGTGCCAAACCGGCAAGAGAGCGTCTACACTCGACTTTGGCGCCTGGATCAAACCCAGCCTATTCTTTGTTGCCTTTCACGCCTCCTTGAAAATTATGCCCGCGGAGAATGCACAATGATAAACCATGATAAACCCATGGAATTTGGGTACCTAATTTTCCATTATTTGCTGAAACTTCTTCAACACCATTTTCAATCCGGGGGGTTCAGCCTAGCCTGCCACCTAGGTGTGCTTATGAGGCTTATCTTGCCCAAGAAGAGGGAAAGACTATTCTCATCGCGCATTCCTCCAATCTCCATCAGATTTTAGCCGCTTTACGTGGGATGGCTTTGGCTGCCATCTTTGGTGCTTCCGTTGGCATTGTGGCAACATTACTGAACCTTGGGCAAACCTACGGAGTTCCCGCGCTGGCGTGTCTCGTGGTGGGTTCGAGCCTGGTGATCCACGATGATGTCTGTCGAAGGGTCATGCATCTTCTGGGCGAGATACTCTGCTGGACTCAGGTGACGCACGGTTTCGTCAATTTCTTTGATCTCTACTCGGCAGAGGCACGGGTTGGCAAATGTTCTTGAAGACCTTAGGGAATACATGGGAATACTACCCTGACACAATCTGACAAAGTATGTTGACATATCATTTTGATCGATCGATCTATATATATATATAATAAATAATATATATTCGATTATATTCGGACGCTCTATCTGGCATCTATTCTGACATTCTATCCGGCATTCTTTCTGTCATTCTTTTTGACATTCTTTCTGACATTTCCTTTGGCATTCATTCTATTTGGCACCTATTCTGGCATTCTATTTGGCATGTATTCTGGCATTCTCTCCGGCATTTATCCTGACATATTCTGACATTCTCTGTGGCATCCTGTCTGGCACCTATTCTTACATTCTATCTCACGTTCTTTGTGGCAGACTTGGCATTCTTTCTGGCATGTTTCAAGGGTCCATGTGTGCCCGGCCTGATCTGGAGATATCTGGAGCTCGGCCGAGTGCCAGCCCCACTTGAGCTGGCACTTGCTGTGATATCCGGGTCCGGTGGTGCCCACATTGACGACGAGCTGGCGGAAGGAGGAAGAAGGAAGAAGGAGGAAGAAGAGGAGTGGTAACTTTCATTAAAATCTAGAGACCATCACCTGGCAGGTAGGAAAGTACGCCGTGGTGAATTGCAGGCTATTCTTTTAGCATCCTTTTAGCCAGAAATGGACGAACACCAATGCTTCACTGAGATCAGTCATCATCATTGGGGTACCATTGGCAGTATGAAATGTGATATTCCATCGGGTCTGCCTCTCTTTTAGGGGGAGACATTTTGCCTTTGGGGCTTTCATCCTGGTGTGTTGCCTCAATGGGTTTGTGAAAAAATAGAGCACCACGAAAGTTCATGGTCAGTCACTTGTTCCCCACCGAAATGGCAACCAGAAACTAATGAACACGATTGGCATCCCCACCCTGAGGAGTACCCCGACAAAGACAAGGCCGTGCCTCACAAGGTAACACAGGTGCTACATTTGTCTTATTGGGTGATGACGTCCTTGGCCTTTTGCGTCATGGAGGTGTGGGGCGTTTTTTTTTTTGGGGAGGTTGGAAGTTAAACAAATCACCAAAATGCTGCGTTTTTGGGCCATGAAAATCATGGAAAATCAAAAACGACCAACAACAATGAGGATTAGGTCATCAGAACAGTATATTCAACCAACAAACACCAACAACAACGTGATTGTGGTAATATCTAACAACCCCCATAAAAATCGAGAAGTCAACAACATTAAACAACCCTGCTACTAAAATAGTGATAAATGACTGTTTTTATCTACTTGAGGGTTACTTTATATTCTTTATATGGTGGACTGGTCCTAAAAGTGTTTGAATCCAAACATATTTCACCAATGACAGGTTGATCGCATCAATGCGAGACCTGCAGTGTCAGAAGCAGAGGAGTTGCGACAAGGGTACCAAGGCAATGGGGGTTGTGTGCCACCCACCATTTACCCATTGATGTTTCCCATAAAATATTTGGGGAACACCATTCAAGTACCAGATCACATCACTATTGGATGGTATTACCACATTTTTTTCGATTAAGCAGGGCTACCAATCCGGGGTCCTACAATCAATTATACAATAACAGTGAACATGCGTATGTTACGCCCATGTTTTCCCACAAAATGGAGGACAACACACACACACAATTGATGAGGAATCGGAATTTATCCGACAACCTTTGAGTGGTTTCACCCATTTGATGGGCAAGACTCATTTATCCGACCTCCATCACAAGGGGGCTTTAAGGTTGGGAGACAACAACCCTGTTGCAGGTTCCATTCAATATGCCAAATGTTCGCAAGCAGCGGATGCCGCCAGCATCCGCCGAGAAATCGGTACCCAGGTGGATCGCGTTGACCATGCGATCCACGTTCTGCTGACGGCCGGCATGTCGACCCCAGCGCTGAGGGACATAGCCCACAGAGTGGACATCGAACATGCAGCATTTGCAGAATTTACCGGGGCAGTGTTTTTGCTGGGCCCTTTCGCAACAATGGCAGTCACACTGTCGTTTGTGGACCTGTTCTATGGCAGATGTTTGTGGCAGCGTGTGGTTCTTGCTGTGATGTCTTTGCTTTCCAGGTTGATTCTCTTTGTTTGGCTTAGTTGGAGCCATTGGGATGAGCAGCGCTTCATTCTGAAGGTCATGAACAAGTTTCTCTGTTTGGCAATGCTTGGCTGGCTGGGTCTGATGTTTTGCTTTCTTGTTTTTGGCCTGAGCTTGGACAATGTATTTTTGACTTGGCTTCTCATCACGGACCTTTGTCTGCTGTCCATGCTCTTGTTTGCCTTCCTTGGGGTGAGAGGCATTGCAAAACTTCCTTGCGGCTTCCGGATCCTACAGATATGCTTTAGTAGAGGCTGCAATGCATGCAATGCTCGGACAGTATCTTGCTGGTTTGTTGATGTAACACTGTATTTGTTAGCCTTTTTTTCAATTTTGATTTATGCTTTTGAGCGGGTGGCTGTGGCCCCAGGATATCCCAAGTACTGCATTTGACTTTGGGGCGCCAACAGCATAACCTGAATCACCAGCTGTGGTTTGCGGCCAGATTTTTTTCCGCATCTACTTCAATAATCTTCAATATCTGAAATACAAAAGACACCCATTCTTCGACAAAAACCATGGTTTCTCACAGGACTTCTGGCAATGCTCCCAAAACCGAAAAGACCAAAACATATGTTTCCAGGTGCATCTGAAATAGTATATAGAGTACAAGGGTAATTTGACTTGGGGAAATCATGATTAACCCATGGATTTAAAGGTGCCCTCTTTGAAGTCAACCCATGGCCAGCAGCTGGTCGTGCACCTCAGTTGGACCATAGCCATCGGGTCATTATCCTGGATTCGGAGCTCTTTAGCCTCTTTTGGATCACCAGGATTTTCATTCTGGTTGGTGGTTTGGAACATTTTTCCATATGGGAATGTCATCATTCCAACTGACGAACTCATATTTTTCAGAGAGGTTGAAACCACCAACCAGCATTGTTTTCATTCTATCATTTTTCTTTTCATGGGTGCTTTTTTGATGGTGATAGGAAGTGGGTGCTCTCTGCTGAATGGTGGTCCTCCCCCAAAAAAATGCTTTAGATATCCTTATACAATGGTTAATGCGAACCACACCCTGATGCCACAATGCAACACAGTGTCCAGGTATGTGCACTCTCGAATCTAGCTGCCGATGACGATGAGTCGTCGGAAACGGAGTGATCTGGCACCGGATGATTCGAATCGTTCTGAATGCAGTGGACAGTCCCCAGTTCGACTGCGGAGACCGCAGAAAAAGGGTGCTTGAGTGTGGTTTATTCCGCGATCTCACCCAAAAAAAAAGTAGAATAATAGCCAAGCAGCTAGACTCTTGGAGATGGCGATGGGGAAAATAGCCAAGCAGCCAAACTGTTGAAACTACATATAACCCATAAAAACCGACCAAAGCAAGCTTTTTACCCAGCAATGGGGCCTGCCCTCAAAAAGGTCCTACCCATCCAGCAGTAGATTCAGTAGAGAATCAAATTGGACACTTGGACTTGGACCATGCCGAACCCGGAAAATTCATGAAAATCGTTTGAACACATTTCAATATCCATAGGATCCATGGTGCTGGTATATATGCTAACATTTGGGGTATATTGATGGGATCCATGTTACCATATATAGCATACATGGATCCTATGGGATATATTTGGTAATGTCATCTACACCCTCCCGTGATCAAACATAGGGAAATGCACCCAAAAAATGAAGGTTTCTAGCTGTGACAATCATCCGAATCATCGAACTAAACGCGTCGTTTCGATGATTTTCCGGAAAGCCATGTTACCGCAGGCTAAGGCCATGAATATTCCCATTAAACCACCATTAAACCACCATTAAACCACCATAGACTTCAGGAGTTCCAGAATTCCAACCCCAGATCCCTTCAGTCGCTCTCGAGCCAAGGCGTGGAACCGTCCCAGACGACGCTTTCAACCTGATGATGATCCCTTTGAAATGCCGTTGGGAAACAAGGACAGCTGGGCCGAAGGAATTGGAATCGACCCTGTAAACATACAAAAAGATGTGGAAAATCATGGAAAATCAACCTTTTGTAGAGCATTTTCTTGGGGAAACCATGGGTTTTCCACATCTATGTTAGTTTATTCTAGTCTATCCCCCAAAGTGGTCCTGATTTGGGTTTCCAGAGAAGACGATGCAACAGAATATTGCTTGCTTGTTCACCATACTTCTTCGCAAACGTGTGCATGCGGGGGTAGATACGAAGGAATTCACATCCATCTTATTGTGCATGTACTAAAATAAAACACATCTTATATAGCTAACTGATGATAACTGGCTGTACTTATGTTGGAATAAATAGCTTCAAACAACTCAAACCATGACCAGTCAGAGATCTTTGACCCACAACGCCGTTGACGAGAGGACTTAGATGATGGCATGCTCCCCATCGACGACTTTGATGAGGAGATGCCTGGGGATGCCTGGGGATGGGAGGCGGCTCAGTGAGTTCCATGATTGTCCTTACTATCTGGTTATGACTAACAGTTCGCCATGGAAAATCACCATTTTTAATAGGTAAACTCAGGTAAACCATCTATAAATTATTATTACCATCTGGTTATGACTAACAGTTCGCCATGGAAAATCCCAACCATAAATATGGAGGTTTTAAAGCCGGGAAAATCATCTATAAATGGGCCATTTTCCATGGCTATGTTGAATAACCAGAGGGTAAGAATGGTGACTTTTTCCGTACTTATGTTATAGAGGGTAGTTGTTGGACGGTTTTCCAAAAGAAAGTGGTGTCGGATGACTTTTTCATTATTGTTTACAATGTCTTTGGTGAGTGTTTGCTTCATTTTCCCGGGATCGTAGACATACACTGGACACCATCCACCCGACAATAGATTTCAGTAGATATATATATATATTTATTTATATATATATATTTATAAATAAATACATATATATATATGTAATATTATATAATGTTTGCAACCCAATGCCATAAAAGCATATGTCACAACTTCCATTTGAGGTTGGAATCCCCCCGCATTGGATAATGGTGATGACTTGGAGAGCCACATGTGGGTCAAAACATGTTATTGCAGTATATTATTGGGGAACCAAGATCCATTCACCAACGATTTTAGGGTACCAAAGGTACCGGGGTTTTGACGCATACCCACAATATCTGGTGGTTTCAAACATTTTTTATTTTTCATTTCATATATGGGATGTCATCCTTCCCATTGGCGAACTCATATTTTTCAAGATGGTTAAAACCACCAACCAGATATTTTATATGATGAAGATCGCTTAGGCCGCTTAGGCCATTTCCAGTCCAAGTCTTTGAGATATGATGTGACCGATGGTGACCCTGAAACCGGCTGGGCTTCCCAGTTATGAGTTGGTGGGTAACCGCCATGAAATAGCGATAACTTACCATAAACATCCATAAACCCTATCGTCATTGGAGGTACCAAGTTGACCACGGCTTTAAGGATTGGGGGCACCGCCGGCAGTATGAACTTCCATTCCTACAATGCTCGGAGTCCGAAATGACAAATCGGTTCTTGTTTTGGGTACCGGCTTTGAAGTGCCTTTTGGTATCAACATGCCCAGCTGGTTTATAGAAATAAACTAATCTGGCGGAAAACAATGTCAAAACTATTTTGGGTAAATACCAATTTTTTGCAGGTCAGTGAAGCGTCAGTGCTTTTTTAAATGTCATTATATGAACATATATGAATCATGATTAGGCTTGTTGTGCTTTGTTGTTCAATAGGGTTTATACAAAAGCACCACTTATATCCACTTATTATATAATCTTGGCCAAAATCTTCCTGAGTTTTTCACAGATGTCGGAGACCCAGTGTCCGTGCAGGACATTGGCTTTGATGGTCCTATGCCTGAGCTGGCGTTAGGGGGTAAGCTGCCACCTGTCGAAGGCTGGTTGTGTTTTCTATTCTGGTGTTGATGCTCTATTTTCTATGAAAATGACTTTTATATTCTGGTGGATATACATATATATATATATATACAGTGTATATATATATATACATATAATTATGTATATATATATATATGCATGAGATACCGAAATGATATATATATAATGTATTATTTTACCATTTCTATATGCTAAACATATCAAAGACTGGCCTCCAAAGGATAGCCGTCAGGCAATCCCTTCGGCGAGAACTGGGCCGAGCTGCCGGGCGACGTGGCCTCCTCCTTCAACAAGTCCAAGCAGGTGGGGGGACGATGGGAGGCCAATTTGCCCCTCTGGAATGGTGGTTTTACCCTCTGGTAATGACTAACATAGCTATTGAAAATGGCCATTTATAGTGAGTTTTCCCATTAAAAATGGTGATTTTCCATAGTTATGTAAACGTTTACCAGAGGGTATATGGTTTTATGGTGTGTCAATGCTGTTGTAAAAAATGCTGTTTGTTTCATGGTGGATGACATGGATTTGACATGGATTGTGTTGAAACCTGGTGTTTTCATGACAAATGTCAATAGTGTGATTTACCCTGGTAGTCAGCCATGGCTGGCAAAATCCCCTTAAACACTGAGGAGGGAAAAACATGGGATATATTGGGATAATGAAATTCAGCCAGATTTATTTGGCCAAAAGAACACACATTGGAAAATACTGCAGTACTATATACACTTATATTTCATGATTTCAGTGTGGATATCCCGGTGGATTCAATTAGCAGATTAGCAGGTCATATGTTTGGACTTTATGATTTGGCTGGCAAAGTGGTTTGCATTTTGCTGCATCAATTTTGGATTTAAGCAGCAAACGTACGGGGATTGGCACAGAATGATAGAAAACAGGTTGTATTGACCCATTTTAGCACCATTTTAGCATGGGAATTGCACCAACATGCTTAACTAATGGAGATGAGTCAACCCATAGGCGATGCACAGAGGCTTGCAGTTAAGACTTGTTAAGAGATTTGACAGTTGTGGATTGGAAGTTTGAAATGGGCCTTTCAATTTCGACAATAGAATTCCCCAACTACAAAATCCTCAAGTGTCCACTTATTTGAGGATCTAAGTTTCAATCCTCAACTATAAAATTCGACTTCCCTTGATCAAAGCCATTTCAATTACCTGTGCCTCGCCGCTAGGTCAAAGAAGCGCCAGCTCCACCGCGCGCGCAACGCGAGAGGGGCAAGAAGCACTTCTGGTGCCTTTTTGGGCCTTCTGGGACCCAAAAATGGTGATGATTGGTGATGAGGGAGTCAGCTGATGAGAAAGATGGGGACTTGATATATTTTGGATCTCCGAAGAGACCAACCTTCACCCAGAAAATTGGGAAATTTAAAGACGACCTAAGATATATTTTGGGGACCTTGCAATGATGAAGAATGATGGGAATTGGATTGGTGTAACTATCGCAGAATCAGTTATACCCTTTTTCAGGGCCCATCCTTGGGCTTCAAATCTCCCCAATTTTTTTGACAGAACGAGTACCAAACTACCAAACATGGCTTCAAGTCGTCAATAGGATAGAAGGGATAAACAAAATCATGGGAGTTGGTTAAGTAATCGCCTCTATTCCATTGTTTTCTATTGGTTTGTTCTATCCGATTCTGCCCGAAGATTCTATTTACTGTATACTATAGCAGGAAATTCTATATAATGTCTGCTGCCATTACGAAGACAATATATTATAGTTGCATCCTACAGATATATCTATCATTAGCTTATATATTATATATGCATTATTAATATTTAATAGGGTATGTTCATGGCCATATTCGATTGCTATAATACTGACATAACATTATTATTATTTCCTTTTGATATATTTGTTTTATATTGCTAGATTATTGATATGTATAACTGTATAACCAGATCGATATTGTTACACTGTAAAAAGTATCATGATTCGATTCGTGTGCTTTACCTTCCTTAACGCTTCAGGTATGGCATGAGCAGAGAAGAGATCAAGGACAGGGTCACCGGTGTCGGTTTCCATCGGTTTCCCCGGGAAATATCTGGGGAAGCCCCAAATTTTGTTAAAACTCATCTAGATATTGGATCCCAGGTTGGTTTTCAGAATGGGATTTAACATATCTAATGGGATATATATATATATATAATATATATATATATATATAATTGATATCTGACTTGCCCATTGGAGATTGGGATTTGGTGGGGCATATATGTAAATATAATGGAATACAATATGTTTAATATCCAGTTAATATAATCAACGACAATGTCCATTTTGGGTACGTCTGACAATGGATGATACCTCAACTTATTGCATTCTTTTGAATTTGGGAAAGCAATTATTCCTGACATTTTGGAATGCCCTAACTTTCAGACAACCCCCTCAATGGGTGATTTGTTCCGTTGCGGAGTTCAATTATAACAGATGTTGTTGTTCATGATATCTCAGGATTTAATGTGATTTATCTCTTGGAGCTAAGAGAGAAAGAGAGATCACGTGCTTTGGTCAGATAAGGTCAGAGAATTGGCTTCTGCCACTGTTTCACGGCAGACATCGACATGACCAAATCGTTCAATGCTAGACATCCGCCACTTTGTATTAAAGAAACTTATTGGAATATCGGCTGAAAATGGTTGCATGGAATTCGGGACACTTCTTTCAGCCCCATGGTTCAATGCTTTTCAATCCAAACGGGTTCCTTCAAGATATTTTGTCATGTCATGTCATCTTAAAATCTGTTCATTCAATTTACTGTAATTAATCCACTTGAGGTGAGGAGGGTGGTGATGTCCATGTAGGAAATGTCCAATCCATGGAATGATGATTCTAATGACTACTCTTCTTTGGTTGAAACCGCCAGATCCCCATGGAGATCGACGTAGTGCTGCATAGGAAGCCAAAGCCAATGGTCGAGGTAAGAAGAAGGCTCCAGCTGAAGGTGCCCCACTTAGGGCGGTGGACCGATAGATTGATTGATCCATTGAGGTATCCAGTGGTGAGCGGTTCAGAGCGCTGGTGTCCATATTGAATCATCATATTCCCCAGAAATGGAGAGCCAGTTGGAGCTACGCAGCTACGAATTGAGTTTCCCAACCCTTATCCCATCATTAAATCCTAACATTCGCATGGCCCAGATGGCCCAGATGGCCCAGATGGCCCGCAGGGCAAGGTGAGAAGAGCTCTTTCATGCGTGCGCTGGAGAAGCGTGAGAAATCCAGGGGACGATCCGTCCGGAGCCGCAGTGTTCGTGTGTTCTGGGACGGGGGTTGGGTGGTTGGGGAAAACATGGGGATAAGTCGGATAAGTATAGCCACTATGGTCACTATAGCTTTAAAAGAGCCACTGGATGTGGCTTTGGCCAAGTTGTGGTTGTTTTTTGATCATGCATAATTAGTCTGATATAGTCTGCATAGTCTTGAAATGAGAAACGATTGGATACCAGTGGTATCCACTGGTTTTGCCATTGCCAAGTGCTTGTCGACAGTGAATCGATTGGGAGGTGCTGACTAGATGAAAGTGGAGATTTTGAGCTAAGGACAAGCTGCTTACAGTACTGGTAGGAGGTAGTGGATAGGTGATAGCAGGATAACCAGTGGAGACCATTTGTTTTGCATGCTTTTACCAAGGTGGTATTTGAACAAAAACCTCCTACACCCTCCAATAGAAAAAGCAAACAAATTATTTCCGTATTTTTACTCATATGTTTAATATATACTTTTACATTTTTTTTACGGGGTTAATGAGGATCTAGGTAGACTGATTCGGATGGCAATTCTTTCAAGGTCATTGCTGTGCCGAGGTCCGCACAGGAGATAGAGCAAGAGGCAATCACTGCAGATGGTGGCCATTCTTTGTATCGATGTTTATTAACCAATTAAAAACATCCAATTTTACAGGTGCCAAATTTTGAACCACAACCGTATGGAACCCTAAGAATGAATATAACTGGCGGGTTCCAGCAACAATCTCAAACCACCCATTTGAAGCGGTTGCATGTGGTCTATGCTTTTTTCGCAGGGGCACGTGTTTGTCAGGCTTACTCCTTGGGAACAGGCAATGATTTAAGCTGAAATTCACGCATGGAAGGTTGCAACGCTGTTTGTTTTGGTTCTGTTTTTGGTGAGACAAAGGCACCCCCAACGCCACACTTGTGAAATTCTTGCCACCCTCCGCATGGCGATGACGTGGCCATTTCGTCCTTTGGATCCCAAGCTGCCCCAGAGCCAGGCCGCAAAGAGACGAAAGAGGCAGGGCAGAAATGTTCAGCACATATGGATCCATATGGTAATGTAATTTCTGTATGTCTAATTATGAAGCATTCTAAAAGTCCAAAGGTATAGATAGATCGGATCATGGACGCGCATTCAGTATTTTTTTTGTGCTGACTATGGCCCATGTTTTGCTTGATGGTATGACCTTGGTCCTCACACCAACGAACCACTGGGTAGATTTGCTCCACGGGTTCCGAATGGTTTTTTTGCGCAAGGCTTCACTTGGCAAATCGCGGGAAAACCCGACCAAAAATGTTGATGGTTTGAACAAACAAAATGACTAACATGAACAAACCTAGAGACCGTCAGTTGGCAGGTGGTGAAGAAACAATGAACACACATGGCAAACCCCTAGTTTCTCATGTTTTTTTCTTTTTGGGCCACTTCATCTTGGCCATGGATTTACTGCTTGGCGCAGGCAAAATCGCCGCAGTCTACCAAGCCTGGAGCAGAGCCTGGAGGTTGGGGAATGCGATGCTGATGAGTCGTCTGATGTGGTATACCCTCTTGGTAATTGATGCCATGACTATGGAGGTGGGTCATAGGTAATTTATGCCACGATTGATAGGTCATTTACCTCTTGGCAGTTACTATCCGCTATAGAAAATCACATATTTTTTTTGGTAAATCATGTGCATATATATATATAATATATATACATATAAAAAAGGACCATGTTCCATAAATTTAGATTAATAACAAGATGGTATATACCATCAAAGTGGGATAAGAACAATTCATGTGATAAACCCGCTAGCATACCATCCCCAAAAGTCCCGGAAAGAGGTAGCACCAGCCCCAAATGGGAGGTTTCTTTTTTTGGTGTACCACATGAACTGGTTATCTTTGATTGACTATATAGTTGTTTGCTTGCTTGATTTAAGCAACAAAATTGGGAAGAAACCATCAAGCATAGGGGGATGTTGCAGCCGGAGATCACAAGGGACCAATGAAATTGAGCCATCAAATCCTCCTTTGGCCCTGCTCATACGGGAACCAGTGGGATTTAGCCAGGAATGAACGGATTTTGTACGTTCCACCTGCATTGGGATTTCAGGGGAGCCAATGGACATATATAGATCTCAGGTTCAGCTAGGATAAAGCTACTGCATCACTGGTATGACCTGTAGTCAAGTGTGGCCTTCATGAAATCAAGAACAACACCGGCGTTTGACACAGGTCTTTGGGTATTGAATGTGTTTTCCCACTTCCTGTTCGTTGGCATGTGTTTGAACATGTCCTGTGCGCAGAAACAATGCCAACAGTTATGGCAGATGATTTTTTTTCCTGTTCGGCCATTCCCAAGTGGCGACTCCTCTAACATCAGAGCGCTTCGTTGCTTCAATCCTCGGGCTGCTGGTGAAATGCCCATTCTCATTCCTACAAACTGCACGTGGGAAAAGTAATAGGATCTACCAACTTTACATAATTTTCCACCATAAATGGGTATAACATGGTATAACTATCAAAATATTGGTGTTTTTTTGTTTACTGCTTTACTGACATTGTCGTTGGTTAGATCCTTGCCTGTCGTTAAGTAATCACCCTGGCGTCACGAGCTATTTCCGTTGCAGCTGCAGGCAAAAAGCCGCCGCAGGCGCCGTGGCTGGTGCTGTTGCTCCTGTACGATCGTTTTTCAGGGAAGGGCTTCTAACTTGGAGAAATCTATGATTCCAGCACTTTCCGGCAAAACCACGCGCAAGAGTTGTACATTTGAGTATCCAATCCAAAAGTGATGCGGGATATTTGGATACCATATTACATCATATTACCCATTGGTCAACGCCATGGAAAAAACCCAATCATATCAAGCCTGTTACTGTACATCCAATCATAGCACCCACATTGGTTGTATTCGATCACTGTTTTTATCATACAATCACTGATATGCGTATGTATATATCTCTGTGTATATATATATATATACACCTTAGATGGATCACACATGAAAAACGATTATGTTCCAGGAATTAGTGGTTCGTTTCGTTTTCGCCCGAATGATGCCCGTTTTTGCCGAATGATGCCAGTTTTCGCCCGAAGCAAAATCAGCAAAATTGCAAAAAATACATGTTATAAGCCGTCGACCAAATTTTCTGCAGCCAGCACCGATCACTAGCTGGCTGAGGTAAAAAGCAAAGGACGGTGCCAGTAGAGAAGATTATCATAGATATTGATACACTGCTTGTTCAATGGAGATTTTCGCTCGGCTTTGGTCTTTAGCCCGGAGGCTGATTCATTGCAGGCGAAAATTTCAGCCCGTATGAAGGTCTAGGTATATATATGATTATACAGATACATGATTAAATAATTATATAATATATTTATATGTATATTCTATCTGTGTGTGTGTGCCATATGTTTCCATACATATATCATAGATGGCATATGGTAGATCTACAGCCACGCCCCTGCCCAAGTCGCAGGCTCCACAAGGCAACGTTGGCCTGAAGCGACGGATCTTGCGCTGAGCACCGAAAATGGGGGAGAGCCCCAAGCCCTCCAAGTTGATCAGTTCAGTATCATTTTTTTAAATTTTTTTTAAGCCCATGGTTTTGGGATGTTTTGAGGATGCCCCCCATTTTAAGAAAACCACCAGATACCCTCCGGAAATCAAACATGGCCTGCTGCAAAATCCACCATTTCGTTCGATGTTTTTGCCATTGACACCTCCATTTAGTTTTGGGATTTTCTATTGCCACGTTTAAGTACCGGAGACTACCCACATTGGGCGATTGTTATAGCACGATTGGTAATCACAATGGCCCATGTAAGGACCAGTGGAACATCAGCCACAACACTAATCAAAGGAAGTTTAGGGGGAGAAACTTCCGTGTTACGGACTTTTAGAATGTCAGGGAAAGAGTTAGTCAAAGAAAGAGTTAGCAAAGAAAGAGTTCGTCAGGGAAAGAGTTAGTGAGGGAAAGAGTTAGTCAAAGAAAGAGTTAGTCAAAGAAACAGTTAGTCAGGGAAAGAGTTAGTCAAAGAAAGAGTTAGTCAGGGAAAATGTCAGGGAAAGAGTTAGTCAAAGAAAGAGTTAGCAAAGAAAGAGTTCGTCAGGGAAAGAGTTAGTGAGGGAAAGAGTTAGTCAAAGAAAGTCAGTGAAAGAGTTAGTCAAAGAAAGAGATAGTGAGGGAAAGAGTTAGTCAAAGAAAGAGTTAGCAAAGAAACAGTTAGTCAGGGAAAGAGTTAGTCAAAGAAAGAGTTAGTCAGGGAAAGAGTTAGTCAAAGAAAGAGTTAGCAAAGAAACAGTTAGTCAGGGAAAGAGTTAGCAAAGAAACAAGTTAGTCAGGGAAAGAGTTAGTCAAAGAAAGAGTTAGTGAGGGAAAGAGTTAGCAAAGAAACCGTTCCCTCACTGTAAATGGGATTGCAAGTGGTGGTGGTGGAGGAGTTGCCGATGGAGTTTTGGAGGAAGTCTCGCACGAAATGCGTTTTTGAGAGATAGCAGATGCACGAAAGCCTATGTTTTTCCATACAAAGTCCGTCCCCGAACCTCGATGATCTACCTCTGCGGTGCGACGGGTGCGAGACGGTCTCGTGTGTGGTCGGATCATGGTCGGATCGGTCTCGGATCATGGTCGGATCGGTGCCGCATTGCAAATGCGGTTTCAAGTGTTTTTCGTGCATGCGCGGTCGACAGAATTCCATTGTGATTTGCAACTGTATAGGATCGTTCCCGCATTGTCAATGGGGTTGCAAGTGGTGCTGGTGGATGAGTTGCCGATGGAATTCCATTGTGATTTGCAACTCTAGGATCGTTCCCTCACTGTAAATGGGATTGCAGGTGGTGCTGGTGGAGGAGTTGCCGATGGAGTTTTGGAGGAAGTCTCGCACGAAATGCGTTTTTGAGAGATAGCAGATGCACGAAAGCCTATGTTTTTCCATACAAAGTCCGTCCCCGAACCTCGATGATCTACCTCCGCGGTGCGACGGGTGCGAGACGGTCTCGTGTGTGGTCGGATCATGGTCGGATCATGGTCGGATCGGTCTCGGATCATGGTCGGATCGGTTCCGCATTGTAAATGGGGTTTCAAGTGTTTTTCGTGCATGCGCGGTCGACAGAATTCCATTGTGATTTGCAACTGTATAGGATCGTTCCCGCATTGTAAATGGGGTTGCAAGTGGTGCTGGTGGATGAGTATGATGATGATGATGATGGTTATGATGATTATGATTATGATGATGATGATTATGATGATCCTACACATGATTTTCATATTCCAGCAAGATACACATCTTTTTCTCCAGCCAAATAGAACTTCACTGATATCCGAGATGCCATTCAGGAGCCACTGGAAGCTTCCCAAACTTCGGCCTCGCCAGGGCGACGCAAGTGGCTTGGCTGGGAAATTCATGAAAGTTGCCGAACTAAAAAATTTAGCATCTATGTGGATGGAAAAATCATATGTATATATATATATACATACAGTATATACAGTATATATTTATATATAAGAATATATTGAACTATATGTATACAGCATATATATATATATGAAAAAAATGATATATGGTGATTTTCCATGTTTGATTCCCGGAGTTGATTTTTCCAGCAGCTGGAGGGTATCCATAGGATTTTCGCCAGTTGGGGACATCATCAGCACATGAAATATCATGAAATGGCTAGGTGAAAATTAGCAAAAGATGAAGGGCAGGTTCATTCTATACCGGTTGGAATGGCGTAAATGTTTCAAAAATGTAGGAAGCGCTTGCCTTGAGAGTTCTGAGGCGTAGCTTTGGCTCAACAGCAACAGCCTTTGCTCGATGATCTTGATGAACAAACAGCACCAGATGGTAAGCACTTATTGGCACCTATCATATTTCTATGTAATTCTATGTGTATATTGTATATATATATATATATATGTATACACATAACTCTGATAGAATGTCCATCCAAGAGTCATGCATTGCACGCACAAGATGTGCCCTGCATTTTTCTACCTTTTAAAACCTCGCGGCCAAAACATTGGCAGCCCTCTGCGCTGCACCAAGCGGTGGGAAGTGATGAGTTGGCTCGACCTGATGCAGTCCTATCTGGCCCCAGTGTGCAAGTGGATGTGCGACCCGTCCCATCCAGATCATCCAGCTACTGAAGAGCTGGTGCAGGTGATTTCTGGGAGGGGCTGACCGAGCCATGGTCAGCAAGCTGGATAGAGAGAGAGAGAGAGGGAGATACTCTATATATATATATTTATTATGATAATATACATTATGATTCTGGTGCCCAAAGATATATGTATACATATATATATATATATATATGTATCAAGCTGGTTGCTGCTGGCGAAGCATGGATATGTTCAATCCCTGCTGAGGGTGATGGAATTGAATATGAACTGCTGAATATTTTTGCAAATGGTGTTCTTTTTTGGATGCCCGATGCCAAAAGTGGACGTGCAAACCACCAAACCTGCAGAGAACGAGATCCAGGAGAAATCCTAGTTCTATCTAGTTCCTATATACATTATATACATTAATATATATTATATATATATGTAAATCCTAGTCCTATCTAGTCCTAATCCTGTATATATATATATGTATATTTATGTATATATATATATGTCTGGTTGGTGGTTTGGAACATGAATTTTATTTTTCATATCATATATGGGATGTCATCCTTCCCATTGACTTTCATATTTTTCAAGATGGTTGTTGTGCAGATAAATATTATTTCAGTAATTAGGTATTCTAAAGACATCCCACTGGAAATTGGAAGATTTTCCCCCGGAGCCTGGCAGGTGCCGCTGGTCTCGGCTATGCCGTCCATGCTCACCAGCCAGGGGCCCGGCGGGAAAATGAAAGGCGCGCAAATCTGGGAAAGGGCACGTTTTCTGGGTTAATCTCAATTATTTTTTTGCTGCATGGGATATATATATATATACACGTGTGTGTGTGTGTGTGCGGTATATGGTGTCTATTTATATATATATATTATGTTTTTCTTTAATGTTATTATTATTATTATTGTGTTTTATTACTATTATAGATGCACTATCGTCCAACCATTTTCAAACCCCCACGCTTATTTGTTGTGTTTTTAAGATATTTGCTAAGAGAAGGGATAATGGGTATTGGGCTATGAGCGCAGGAATATGCCAGGGGTTGTGGGTGTCTAGAGCTTTGACAATCAAATATGGGGGTTTCCTACAATGGGGGTACCCCTAAATGGATGGTTTATAGTGGAAAACCCCTTGAAAATGGATGATTTAGGGGTATATACCCCCATTTTTAGGAAACCTCCATATTTTGGAAGATGAACCCGATTGGCTAATAATTCAAGGGGTTGATATAACAAACAGATCCAAACAGACAATAATGCCCCTGTGCATGGGCACAACGATGAATAGATTTCACAAATTTAATGCTGGAGAAGACATCAATGGGCTTTTCTGTTTTTGAGCGTCTCATGATATCAGAACATGGCATGCTGCTCAACGAATGGTTTCAGCGGTGAAGCATCGGATCTGTTTGACGTTTGTGGGGATGGTACTACCATATAGATCATGTAGCACTTGGCTTTCTTGGATCGGGATCACTTTAAGATGCTTTAACCTGCTATAGATAGATGGACAGATAGATAGACAGATATAGATAGATATAGATAGATATTGATAGATATAGATAGATACAGATAGATACAGATAGATATAGATATATATAGGTAGATATAGATAGATATAGGCTAGGTAGATATAGATAGATATAGATAGATATAAATATATATAGATGGATATTGATAGGTACAGATAGATATAGATAGATATAGATAGATATAGATAGATATAGATAGATATAGATAGGCATAGAGAGAGAGAGGGATATATAGACATATATATATATATGTATAGATATAGATATAGATAGATACAGATAGGCATAGAGAGAGATATAGACGTATATATATATATATATGTAAAGATATAGATATAGATATATTAAATTTCACGAGCTCCTGGGATTTTGTGATTTTTAGGGAATATTGGATATCAAGGTCAAGATGCAATATGTGGTGCACTGTACGCGCACAAGGGTGGCACCAAAAAACTTAAGCGTCATGGTTTGCACGGGTTTGCACTGGATGAGCCTTCCATAAATGGAATTGGTCCAATTAATCGTTCAGAAAAAATGAAACGGTCGGAAACGGTCGGAAACGGTCGGAAACGGTCGGAAACATGATCAGTCCAAAACTTGTCCAACCCGCATTTTTTTTAAAATAAGCATTTCCGCGCAATGCCGTTTTAAAAATCACAAAATCCCAGGAGCTCGTGAAATTTAATATATAGATAGATAGATAGAGATAGAAAGATATAGATAAAAATAGATGGAGATAGACAGAGAGAGAGAGAGAGAGAGGGAGAGAGAGAGAGAGACAGAGAGAGACAGAGAGAGACAGAGAGAGACAGAGATAGACAGAGATTGACAGAGATAGATAGAGATAGATAGAGATAGATAGAGATAGACATAGATAGAGATAGACATCGATAGATAGAGATAGAGATAGATAGAGATAGAGATAGATAGAGATAGACATAGATAGATATAGATAGATATAGATAGAGATAGATAGAGATGGATATAGATAGAACTGTATAGATAGAGAAAGATAGAGATAGAACTAGATATAGATAGAGATAGATAGATATAGATACAGAGAGATACAGATAGATAGAGACAGACAGACAGACAGATAGACAGACAGATAGATAGATAGATAGCTAGGTAGATAGATGGATAGGTAGATAGATACATCGATCGATAGACAGACAGACAGACAGATAGAAAGATAGAAAGATAGATCAATCGATCAATAGACAGACAGACAGACAGACAGAGACAGACAGAGACAGACAGAGACAGACAGAGACAGACAGAGACAGACAGAGACAGACAGAGACAGACAGAGACAGACAGAGACAGACAGAGACAGACAGAGACAGACAGAGACAGACAGACCGAGAGACCGAGAGACCGAGAGACCGAGAGACGGAGACACGGAGAGACACGGAGAGACACGGAGAGACACGGAGAGACACGGAGAGAGACCGAGAGAGACCGAGAGAGACCGAGGGAGACCGAGAGAGACCGAGAGAGACAGAGAGAGACAGAGAGAGACAGAGAGAGGCAGAGAGAGGCAGAGAGAGGCAGAGAGAGACAGAGAGAGACAGAGAGAGACAGAGAGAGAGAAAAAAAACCAACAAAAAACAGAAAAGAGAGAGACAGAGAGATAGACGATAGAAGAGAACGAAGAAGAGACAAGAGATAGAGACAGAGAGGAGAGTACATAGATAGAGACAGAGCGAGAGACATAGAGAGATCATAGAGAGATACAGATATAGATACAGAGAAGAGACAACAGAGAGCAGACGACAGACAACATACGAACATATAGACCAGAACAGACAGACATAGTAGCCAGACAGACGACAGAACAGAGAGAACGAGAGACGAGAACAGAGAGAACAGAGAGACAGATAGACAAGAGAGACATATAGACATAGAGCCAGAGAGAACCAGTAGAACATAGATGATACGAGACAGACGAGAGAGAAGAGACATACAGAGACAGACAGAGACAGACAGAGACAGACAGAGAACACAGACAGACAGACAGAGACAGACAGACAGACAGACAGAGACAGACAGACAGACAGACAGAGGCAGACAGACAGACAGACAGACAGAGGCAGACAGACAGACAGACAGACAGAGACAGACAGAGACAGACCGAGACAGACAGAGACAGACAGAGACAGACAGAGACAGACAGAGACAGACAGAGACAGACAGAGACAGACAGAGACAGACAGACAGACACAGAGACAGACAGACACAGAGACAGACAGACACAGAGACAGACAGACAGAGAGACAGACAGACAGACAGACAGACAGACAGACAGACAGACAGACAGACAGACAGACAGACAGACAGAGAGACAGACAGAGAGACAGACAGAGAGACAGACAGAGAGACAGACAGACAGACAGACAGACAGACAGACAGACAGACAGAGAGAGAGAGAGAGAGATAGATAGATAGATAGATAGATTGTTATTTTAATTATATATCTCAAATTCACCCTATCAGTTTCCATGCCACACCAGTGAAGTTGGAGCATCTGGAAAGATCTCAGGTGCCCAGCGTCGCCAGGAGACTACTTGAAGTTGCCCTTGGCTGCACGCGATCGCTCTGGAAAGCGGATCAACCAAGGGATCGAGGTCACCTGGCGGGCTGGATTTGTGATTGTTCCCACAAATGGGGGGTGACCCTATGGTAAACTAACATAGATGTGGAAAACCAATGGTTTCCCGTTCAGAAAATGATCTCTCAGAGGACAAATGCCTTTCTGGAAACGTGAGGTGTCAGGACCGTTAGTGCTTGCAAACCTTTTTGCATCTTGGAAGGTGGATTCTGGCTAGAAAGGTTAGAGTACCAGGATTTTAATGGTCAGAAAGGTCGGGATCCTCACAAATTTAATCATGTTTTTTCCTGGACAGGACCCTCTGGGGTAGACCAGAGGGGGGCCATTGGGAATGTTTGCAGGACCCGCGCTGCAATCCTGTATCCGCCAAGATTTTTTGATTTTCCCAATGGGAAATCCACGACTTGGGGGATCTTTAGGGAATGCTTTTGATTTTTTTTGGGGTCCTTAAGCAAATCCAAGTAGTTGACAGGTAAAACATGGTAAAACTACAGGTTTCCTGTCGGTTTTCGCAACGCCGCGGCTGGATCTCGCCGGATGTCAGGGTTCCGCCCTCGGCGCACCAAGCCTGGAATGGATGGAGGCCTGATGGAAAACCATCAGTAGCTGGCAGGAAGGTAACGACCCCATGGATGCCACCTCTGAGATGATTTTTGGTCAAATCAGCGATTTGTTTGTCGCCAGTGCAAGAACCTCCGGTAGGACCCAACTGACTGTGGAAGAACAATTTTGTATCCCCTAAGCACTGAGAAACCCGGGGTTTCCCATAGTGTTAACTGTTAGGAGGAAGGGATTGTGTTGTTTGACCTTGTACCTATTTGCATCTACACTTGTATAAAACAAAAAATCAACTTCTGGTGCCCATGGTTGGATTTTATTTGTGCATTAATTAGCCCTCAATTCTTCCAGTTATATCCCTGTTGGTTTCTCGCTTTCCCTTCCGATCACCTCGTTGCAGGAAGATATCCCAGCGCCCCGCGTGATGGTGCCTTCCACGGTGAATGATTTAGCCATCATTTGCGACGAGCTTCCCAGCGGCTGGGCGCTAAAACACGATAAAAAACCAGTTGAGATGTCGACGCTTCCGACCTCCCTGCAGGGTTTACTAACATGGGGGGTTTCTTAAAATGGGGGGTACACCAAAATGGATGCTTTATAATGGACAAATCCTCTTAAGATCGATGATTTGGGGAAAAGTACCACTATTTTAAGAGACCTCCATAAATTCTTGTGGCAAATGGTTCTGAACACCCAGCAAAATTGTAGATCATGTCCTGGGGGGAAAGCATGGATTTGCCAGATCTCCACCTATAGAGGCTACCTTCCGCCTGCTGAAGCCTTGCGCCTGCGTGCCGCTTGCCGCATCCATGCAGAGGGCGAAGGACACAGACATAGCGTTCCAGTGGCTTCGCAGGTGCTGGATGCTCGGTGGGAGGTTTACCATGGTTTACCCACAATTTATGGCAAATTTTTCCTAGGGAAAATGATGACCTACCATGAAATTTGGGATATCAAAGGAGAATCCTGGGCAAAATATGGGACTATGATGGAGGGTTTTGGTTCCTTTGGGGTACCAAATGGCCCCGGGACCAATTTTTTTGATTAGTCGGGGTGTGTTGGTCCGGAGTTGACATTCCATGATGAAACGATGGTCCAGTGTGGTCAACTGTCATCCTGTGCATCTTTATTTTGTTTTCCCTCTGGTAACATAGCCATGGTATAGATGGCCCATTTAAAGATGGTTTACCCCCCCAAAAAAATGGTGATTTTCCATGGCTATGTTAAATAACCAGATGGTTTACCTTTTAACATCAATCTTCACCAATCTCAAGCAGCCTAGGATGTGATGGTGATGAAAAGCCAGGTGGTGCAAGAGGTCAATGATTGGGGAGCCTTGGAGAGAAACGATCTGGGAAGCGGGAAGGAATTGCTAGCGATTTCCAGTGGAGATCTTCGGGCTGTTTATCCTTGCAGATTTTGCCAGATTTTTCGTACATGGAATGCATGAATACTGCATCAACAAGATTGCATTGAGTTGGGGCTTTCTCTGCGGGTCCTCCTGTCGCAACTGGCAATGGGAACTATGCATGACTGCTTGAACATAGTGGTTTGAGTATTTGTAAATGCTTTGCTCCACCTTCATTGATGATGTATTGGGTTCTGATGTTAAACTCTCCGTTGCAGTGAGGTTTCGCCCAATTTTTGGTGGTCATTTCCTGGGATTTTGAGGTTTGTTCCCCAATGTATCCAGTGACCTAACTTCCCCTCAGGTTTCCATCACCATCACCCCGAACGTCAGGACTGGTGGACGCCTGCTTGGGTGAGGGCCTTCTTTGTAGCAAAATGCTGCTGGAGACCTTTTTATGTACCTCCTTGACCATCGATGAAGGTGAGCTGCAAATCACCAAGTTGCGCTTCTGATGCGGAAGGCGAAACCGGCGAAGAGGAGAATGGATTTGTCCGAAATGGGTCTTTTCCATGATTTTCTCAAATTTGATGGTTGACAAATGTTGACAATATCATATTCACACTCATTTCACACTAATCATTTTGGGGTATATCCAGCCCATGTCGCACTCGACTCGGGTATGAAGTTAAAGCTCCCAGTAACACAGTCCCGGAAACTGGTGGTGGGATCCATGTACCTTATATATAAGATGGTGAAACAGTTGGCACAACGTCATAGTTGCAAGTGCACCATTTTCGGGCAAACCCAATCAATGAAGCTGGGTGAATTATGTTGCGACCAAACTCGACCGCGATATAGATGATGGTTCGGATTGATTTCTGCAGATTTGGGGTTTGAGAATGATGGTAATTTGCCCGGATGATAAATGTAGTATAGGCGATGACAATGACAGTAGTGACAGAAAAGGTTCGAAACAGTCAAACTGAGTATATGCGAAATCTTTTTGCAGGAGGTAACCTTGAGAGATCTGTAGAAAGCACACACACAAACAACACTTCAACTCATGTTTATTCCACAAAAAAGTCAACTTTTGTAGGAAACCAACATAAAACCCATCGCACTGTCACGAACCTGCGATGCATAGTGCTGTGTTAGCTACACCTGTTGGCGTAGCTCAGTCAAGATGATGGGGCGGCCAACCACAGGGGTGACCACAGAAGCGTTTTACGAAGCTGCAAACAGATGCAAAAACGGTCGCCCGGACTGGTGGATGGTTTCAAATATGGGGGTTTCCTGAAAAGGGGGTACCCCGAAATGGATGGTTTATAATAATGGAACATCTTATGAACATGGATGATTTGGATTGATTTGGGGGTACCCCTATTTATTATTTCAGGAAACCTCCATACATGCATAATGTGCTATATTTTCCTTGCCTGGGACGATCATCTCCAGCTTGATTTCGTCTTTTCGAATGGGGTGAAACCATCAGCCGGTAGTTTGTTGTGGGTAGTTCGCAATACAGATTTGGAACATCCTTTAGCTGCCAAGAGGCAAACCTGACTACTTTGCTGAGGGCTCTGCAGGGGATAAAAGATATACAAAGTGCGGTCCAAGTATGCCCAAGTTCGCCTGTGATGAGCAGCTTGACCCATGTTTGAGCAAAGTTGGCTATTTCTGTGCCCTTGCAACGTGCTTCCGGTGATCCATTTCCGATTGATGAGGTTCAAAGCAAGTGTCGTTTTCATGAAGTAAGGGGATCATTGTGGGTGAGTGGGCTGAGTGGCTGGACAGCTGCTACTAGCCATCAAACGAGGGGTCCTTCCATTGTTGTGTATTTCCAAGATCAAGGTCCCCGGGTCACCAAGCTTTAACGAAATTTGTTTGGAGGTTGTTATTTTGATCAGAGGAATCGGTGGGATCCTAGGTCCTATTGTGATCGTAATGACCTCGTTGTTCATGTTTTTTTGGGGAGAGAGCTGTTACTGTACTAGTGTTGGAACTCTACATCCGTCATTTGTCATGAACAACCCCATTTCAGATGGTGCCAACTCCCAACCCCCACAGCTTGAGATTTGCTCAGGCCAACGCCTCTCAGTGATGACTCCGAAGTCTCCGAAAATCCGGGGGCCTTGCCCTCCAGCTCCCCAAAAACGGAGGAAGTCGACCTCAACACCAGCTGGATTCCTGAGACCCCGGAGGCCTTCGGCTTCGGGGGCCATCCCCTGCTCTTGGAACATCTCCTACCAGAGGAGAACCCTATGGACCAGGAGGTTTCCAGCCAGCCGATCCAGTCACTGGGGGTGGAAATGCCTATCCCGATGCCCAGCAGCCCGCCCCTGGCCTTCCAACCAGCCCTACAAGTGGGACCGGCCCTGCACCCAGTGCTGACTGCAGCACCTGCACCGGTCTTGCAGTACGCACCGCCGATGGGACAACGGCCCACCAGTGCGCCGCAGGCGTGGACAATTGACTGACCGGAGCAACGAGTGGGATCAAAGTACCAATAAAGGGTGTGTAGACACCAAATTTGGGTCAAGCCACCATTTGCGACAGATCCTCTGGGGTTGAGGGGTTGATGAGGGAAGGTTGCAGGTGATACACGGGGTCACGGTGTCATTGGTCACCGAGGCTCCTACTGACTCTAGCTGTCACATGCTGTCACCACGGTATTTACTGCTGGTACCCTTTGGTAATCTCCATGGCGTGCTGGAAAATCTTTCATTTAGATCTCTTTAGTTCGATCAGTGTGGACATTGCCAGCTAGCCATCGGGCCATGTTCGATTTCGCAGGAGGCGTCTGAGAGATTGTCGCCAGAGATAAGGTGGATCTGCTGATCTGTGCCCGGGGCAGTAGGTAGCTGCATGGTAGCTGGGGTTAAGCCTGACATCA